AACCAAATGGGGGACAATGACCGTGACATCCCCCGCGTGAAAAGAAAACCCGAGCTTTGTGAGAGTTTCTTGTGAATTCATGAATGAGACACCAAACGAGCATTGACGACCTAGACTTACCGAAGGTAATCGGGTGGTCATAGCGTGTTTCAGGAAACCTCGTTTCCGGGTGTCTCATCTTTTCGACCGCGATTTACGTGTTCAAGAAGGGAGGGTGCGGAGGGCTTGCTTTACAAAGTAAAGCAGGAGCTTCAAAAAACCCACCCACCCAAATCCCTTGAAAGCTCCACAGACAATGCCAGACCCACGGCCTGACAATGACCGTGACATCCCCCGCGTGAAAAGAAAGCCCGAGCTTTGTGAAAGTTTCTTGTGAACTCATGAATGAGACACCAAACGAGCATTGACGATAACGTAGTTTTTCTGCTTCGAAAAACGTAAATTTTGGCACTAACAAAATTGAACAAAATGGGCAAATTTGACATGTCATCAATGTTGCAATCAGCTGTGAAGCCTTGGTAAGGTCTTTGCTTTAATTTCATTTGCGGCCCACCCTCAGCCGCGCTGTGTTGCTGCCGCAAGCCGAACCGCAAAGCCCCAGGCCGGTCTTCCACAGACCTGGTCTTCACAGACCCGTTCGTTAGCCTACCTGAAAAAATTTTGGAGGTGTGCAGCCCCTAGCAATAGAGCACATTCTCGAGTGCACCCGCTCGGATTTTGTGAGCCTGCGCAGTCCAACTGCGTTGCAACAAGCTTGTTTGGGATGCAGGCAGTCAGCCACATTTTTCTCATTTTTTTGTGTTTTCTTGGCCGACCCACCAAGCTAAGTATGTGAATGTGAGATTTTGGTTTTGAAGTATACATTTGTGCATATATGCACGTGTGTGCCTTGACATGTGTTGCCAAATGTGAATGTACATGTGTTGCCGCAGCTAGGGCCCCAGGGCCGTGAAACACACGGCAATGGAAGATCCCGCAGCTGCTTCAGAGCAGCCGAACCCTTTGGATGCAGGTCCCAGACAAGAGGCGCAGAATGGCAACGCTTGAATGGACATGAAATTTGTATGGTTTCGAGACAGACATATGGTCTCTTTGTATATGGTCATTCCTTGCTTACACTGTTTTTGTTTTTTCTTAAAGTGCGGGTTTCGCTGGAGGGAGTTCTGCAGTGTTGTAGTGTGGTAGTGTGCAATTTGAGTCTGGCCTCTGAAGTGTTGCAACAAACATGCACAGCGTAGTGAAAACACATCCGGACAGCGTGGGGAACAAATTTGTTTTAGTGTTCTCGCCAAAAGATTGAACGGTATGAAACATTCGTCGTTTCAGGCCAGCCCTTTGATGGCAACGAGAGACAGTGGGAATGATGCTGGCATGGTTTTGCCCTTAGTAGGACTTGGGTTGCATTGGTAAGGATTCTTCAAGTGGGCTGACGGTTTTGGCGAACGAAGGAATGCATTGACATATTTTGCAGGACCTGGCCCCAGCGCTCCTCCAGCTCCCCCCGCAGCAAGCTCGATGATAAGAACTGTTTGTGTTATAGTCATGCCCTCGGCTATTGGGGTGATGGGCGTCAATTATTGATGTTGCACGATTGCTGACTTGCCAAAACTGGATGAGTTGACTTCGACAGGGAGTTGCCCTGCTTCGGATGAACTGCTAGGTTGTTTGCATTGTGGTCGCTTTTGGTGCTGGCACGCTTTTGAGCCCCATGCTTTCACAGGCCACTTTGGGCAACAATTGATAGTCTCCATGCTGTGAGAACTGCGCAACAGGATCACGATGGCGGTGGAGAAGGTCTTTCTCTCAGACTGGCTACTGTACGCACAGTACAGTATAGTTCAACTCTTGCGTTGAATCCATTTTGTCACTGTTGGCTGTTGGCTCAGATTCCTCTCCTTTTCAATGGATTTGGTTCTGGGCCAAGCATCGAGACACTTAGCGCGGACCAACCAACACTGCACACTAAGCAACAGACTGTGCGACCAGCATGGGCGCTTGGCAAAAGAGTTTTGAGGGCACATGCACTTTTGGACACGAAAAACAACCACAGAATAGACTAATTCCAAGGCCTTTTGGGCCACAGGCTCGACCACATAATGACCAATGACCTGTGCTGTTAATTGGCCATTTGAGAACAATGGTGACAGGGACTTACCAACACCACGACCAGCTCAACCAGAACAAGCTCCACTGGAACCACTTCCACGGCAACAAAAACGGTCTTGTCCTTGGTGCTGCTGTTATACATTCCTCAGCCAACATTGGACGTCTTTTTAGTCATTTGACATTAACATGCAGCAAACTGGCCCTTTCCAACACGGTGCTTTCAGGCAGCGCTTTGCTGTAAGTTCGGCATCTAGCGGCCGTCAGGTCACTACCACAAGGACTGCTACCACGACAAGTACCTCTATCACAAGCACCTCGAGGACAAGCACATCTGTGACAGAAACAAGTCACACTTCTACATCAATGACATTTACAACTACTGGCCTTTTCCCATTGGCGCCGTTTTCCTGTTTAAGATTCTCGATTGCAGTTTTAGAGACATCATTAAAGCGATCGGGTGCAATCATCTCTGGCGGCCTTGGCCCTCGAGGTGACATGAACCTTGGTCCAGTGAAGCATCCTGACAAGAAAGGAATTGCCCTGGACGACACGACCTTTTCGCAGTGCCCCTCACTGACAACAGTGCAGTGGCCAAATGCCAAAGAAACTTGGAGAAGTGATCGGACATTTCCACAAACTCAGTTCACTTATTGAACCTGTGGCTTCTAACGCATTCCAGCCTCTGAGGAAAACATCACATCTCTGCGTCTTTTCAAAGCATGGGACGCAACGTGGTCAGAGCGATATGACCGCTAAGCTCTCAGATTTTGGAAACAGAGATAAAAACAGAATTAGGGAGCTAAGCAATACCTTCATTTTCTTTCTTCTCCTTGTCGTTTTTGCTGTATGGGAATCTTGGACGTCACTACCCGAAGAATGCTTTCTGTTTTTTTGGGACAAAATCTTTAGACAAGATCTTTCAAAAACCTTATCTCTTTTGCATTTCTAAGGTGCGCAGTCCTGGATGGCACTGAAGCACTACATTGTGAGTGCCCTGGCCGAAGCTAAGACCATGTAGTGTTAGGCTGCAAATTGAAAGTCGACAGAGCAAACTGATCGATGGGAACAGACCGGTTCTGCCGCTACAGCATCGGCTGAATACAAATGAGCCACACATTTTCTCAATTGGGGCACCTTCAGGGAGTTATTGATCACGCGCTCGTTTCGGGTTGTAAGTTTCAGTTCAAGGGAAACCATCAAGAACCAGATTCCCAAAAAGTATGCTAGAACAATCGAGTTCTGGCTCTTGCCTCCGTCGAGTAAAGGGTTCTTCGAGGTGTCCTCATGCAGGCAGCTACACTTACTAGGCCCAGGGAGCACACTCGCTATTGTGCCCTGCATCGCAGGTGTAGCACACAGCAGGTGTTTGAATGTCTGAAGCAGAGTTACGCTGGAGGTGCTGCAGGTGCTCCAGGTGCAAACAGGTTTTGTGTCGAAGTGGGCCTCGCATGTGCAGGCCTAGTCACCTGGAAGATGTTTTCGCATCCACAACCTCATGGGCTTTTTGAGATGTCCCCAAGAGAATTCACCTTTTGGACGTCTGAATAAGGTGCCTGCACCTTTGTATTCATTAAGTCAGACAGACGGCAAATATTGCAAGTTTTGGGCTTTCGATCGCAGGCAGGAGCACATGGCGTTCGAGTTCCCCGTCTGGTACAGGCCGTTACCGCCTCCCACGTTCAAGGATCAAGAGGTTGGCCCTTCCTGCTGCAAAGCTGGGAGACACGGAGCCCTGAGTTCTCATGTTGGAGCCTGAATTTGAGTTCTAACTCTCTGATGAATTGCCTCGAGCAGCCACTTGTGGAAGGGGCGGCTGAGTCGTGCGCCCTTTCATGGACTTTCATGGAGTCTCATGCAGACTGGGAAGCAATTTCCTACTCACCGTTCTCACCTGTATTCTTGGAGTTCTCAAGGAGACGTGTCTCATGACTCTTTCACATCCGTTGCAAAGACAAGTTGCATGCGCAAGCTTCGTTATGAGATGCACAGTGCACCGGGAATCAGGATGTGCATGCTCAAAGGTTCTTTATAAGTCACTCACATGACTGTTCCTGCATGGTGCTCAACTAAGCTAGTTCAATTTCGATCAAAGTCTTGCCACACAGACGATCCAATGTTTTCGAAGACAAATCTGTGGGCACTGGTGCTTGATTTGTGCTGTCAACTCGACTACAGTATATATATATATTTATACATATATATATATATACGCTTTCAAAGCAAGAAACTCGGTCGGCTTTCCGTTAACTGGACATTGTTTGGATCAAACATGAATTCAAGGCACTACATGAACATCGCTACTAGGAGCAAGGACGCTACTAGGAGCAAAAGCATCACTACTAGGAGGATGCTACTAGGGGCTCCTGGTCGTACTACTAGGAACAAGGACACTACAATCAAGGCACTACATGAACAATCAGCTGAGTCTGGACGTGGTCAAAACTGGATGTGGAACCCAACCGCCCGTGATTCCAGATTGTCGGAACATTCTTCGAAGCTTCTCCCACCGGGGTAGCTTAGAAGCTTCGTTCTTCTTAGACGACTTCGCAAAATAAGCTCTAGAAGACTATGCTAGAGGAGGCTCCTCCGAAGTGCAGACTTTCATAGACCTTTCCGACCTTTCCATTTTCTGTATTTTTAAACAAAAGCACATCTTGACTGTCCCGCTTGACGGGATTTGTGGTTCTGTCAAACATTGAGTGTTGTCTAGTGGTAGTGTGGGCTTTGTCAGGGATTGTGCTGGGTTTTGTGGTTGATTTATCTTCGAATTCTGATTGGCTCCTAAAGGCGGAGACAGTCAAACTCATTCAAGATGAAGGTCCAAGAGTCAAGTCCAAGACGGTAGTTATTCTGGAGTAGCAAACGATGCGCACGTGCTTCTGTCACTCTTCAAGTGGAACTTTGCGAAGTGCAAGAATATTTTGCTGCTTTCATTCCTTTGACTTGGAACACTGAAGTAGAGTCCGTTCAACTAGGATATTGTTGGTTTTCAAGAATGATGGGGTGAAAACCTTTCGTACCCTTGTGGCCTTCAAGAAGGCCGCGAAGAAGGTCTATCTATTCATTCTCGGTTCCACTTGTTGTGCAGCCAACGAGTTTGATATTCACAAGTTCATATGTTGATCAAGCCCAGAAGTATGAGCACCCAATCCAACTGTCATAACAGCTCATGAGAAAAGCACACAGACAATATATATATATATATGTATATCTATACATAGAATTTGCGTATGCTCAAGGTTTGGGCTCGAGGATCAGGATCCGTCGGCAGAAGGAGATGCGGAAAATCTACCTGGTGTGCAATGGATGCAGGCAAAGCTGGATCTGGGAGGAAAGACTCCTACACCAGCCATCCATGGCCTGCAATCTATGTGGGAAGCAATGGAAGAAGCAGCCCCTCCCAGATCTCCGCAGAAAGCGAGTCGAATGGGCGCCATGGAACTTCACCCAAAAAGGAGAACAATGGCCAAAAAGGAGCTTCAAGGAGGCTCTGGTCACACCACCACCAGGACTATATGGCGGCAAACCACCCAAGAAGAACAAAGCTATGGGCATTGAGAAGAAGCTTCAGGAGCATCGGGCAACCATCCCTGAGACCCTGCGTGCCCAAGTGGAGGCCATGGGAGTCAAGGCGGCAGAGCCGACACCACCGCCGGATCTCCCAACTTTGATCAAAGATCACTTGCAAAGCCTCCCTACGGAGCTCAGGCACGCTGTGGAGCGCTCAACCAGAAGCTGAAGTAAGCAGTTGGCACCTTGAAGCAGCTGCGAGAGAAGAAGGCCTCCATCCAGGTGAAGGCTGACACCATCAAGCCAGTACACCCAGCTCTTGCAAGATCTCAAGGACATCCAGACCAAGATCGAATCAGCTCAAAAGGAGCTTCAGGAGACAACAGTCCTCTACAACCAGCAGCTTGAAAAGGACAAGCAGCAGGAAGAGGATAGTTCCATGCCAGACGAGATCTCAGGGGAAAACCTGCTGACTGTCATGGCTAGCATTGGAGTGAGCGCAACGTCGGAGCAGGTCAAACAGTTTGCAGACAAGCTTAGTGAGAATGTCATGAAACGAAGAAAGTGCGGGTAACTACCCAGCACGACAGCAGGGGCTAAAGCGCTATGGGGACCTTGCAAACACAACCCATGCTGACCACCTAGGGGAATCAGGCAAGGGGAGCGGGGGCGCACTCCTCTGGTCTGACGCATGTGGGATGATGGCAAATCAAGATTTGCCAACACGTGAGGGAGTGGTTTTTGTGGGGGCACAGGAGACCTCAACCTACATACAGCAGATCCTGTTTTTGAAGGGCAAGAACACCAGCAGCAGACGGTGAACGAAGAGCGACAGGCTCAATCGAGCTTGGACTATGTGGTCCAAAATCTACAGTGCAGGTTGGGCAGCTATCGAAACCGTTGCTTTGCCAATGGGCCATTTCGATTATGGTCTTGGTCGGGCAGCTTCATGCACGGCCCGGCACTTTGGAACAGAACAGCAGCAGCTGTCATGGCGGCAATCACGGACAATGAGGTGGTCAACATCACCAAGTTGGAAACGATGACGCCCATTTGGCAGAAGTTCAATGAAGAAGTACAAGATGATGATTCACACTTCCGGCAAGAACTGGTCGTCATGGCGGGGTCTGACAAGGTGATAAAGCAGTACCGCCACGTTGACTACAGGCAGGAAGTTCACCTCAGAGACGCTTTCCCGACACACCTCATCTACAATGAGACGGGAGGGGAGGAATTTGAAACCCTGATTTTTGAATGGGCGAACACTGCGGAAGGCCAAGTTCTTGCTGGACGAGGACTCTGGGTGGCACAGATTGGAAGGTACACTCACCGCAATGGAGAGTGGATGAAACATCGCCGACCTCTACAAGTCCCATCCATTTTCCAGTCCACTTTGCCTTGACGGCACAACCACCAAAACTGAGCAGTACTCCTTGATAGGGCTGCTGTGCCACTCCGGTGAAGGACACCAAAGTGGTCACTTCTATGCAATCTTCATCTACAGAGGATTGTATTGGCTGGTTGATGATGGAGCCTTCCCAAGGCCTTTGCCGGTGTTGCAGGATAACATCCAGAAACAGATTGTGCAAGTATGGGCAATCCCTTCATCTCAACTCATGCCAACTCAGCTGCCATGTGATCATATCCATGGGGCAATCCGTCAGACAATGGTTAGGGGGCAGAACGCGCGCCCCGATCTTCATGGTTGAAACACACCTCAGCGGAGAGGACCACTTGAAGATGACCCAGTGGTTCAGCAGGTTCAAAAGGGGCACCTCGGGCGGCTTCATGATCCTCTACCCGGCTCACATGCACATGCGCTATCTCCAACATCAGGTCCTTGAAGGATGCGGATGGTATGCAGTGATGTGGGAGTTCAACAACCAGAACATTATCATGATCGCCTGCTATTCAAGTGTGGAGAAGGAGTTCAAGGCAAGACAAATGCCTCCCTATAGGCGGGACTCATCACCTGTGTGACAGGAGTGAACAACCCTTGCATCATCATCGGAGACTTCAACATCACGCCTGGTGAGTTCATGGCTACCAGCGTGAACACGGTGATGCAAGTACAGGTGCTGGCAACAGGAGAAGAAACATGCCACTCTGGCAACGAGCTGGATTGGGCGCTGACCACCAACAACCTCAGCCCCGAGGAGAGAATGGGCCCAGTTTGAAGATAGTGAGACCACAACCAAATGACTGGATCTTGAAGACAACCCACTCGGCCAGAAGGCGGGAATGCTCTATGGCAAGATCGGAAGTACGTCCTCCAGAACCTTGAGAGCCCTGGTTATGGCAGAGGAACTCGGCTACGATGCCAACAAAAGCCACTTTGTGATCCCAGCAAAGCATGGCTATGGAAGAAGGGGGGCCTGGCCTAATGGAACCAGATGGAGGTCAGGCTCCAGCAACAACTACATAGAGCACCGCATCTTCGAGGTGAAATGGGACACCTAGGACAAGCTAGGTTGGCGCCTGGCACAACATTGGCATGAAGAAGCGGACATCACGTTGGGTAGCGTCCAAATGCTTTTCCAGATGCTGTGGGGACAACGTGACCAAGAACATGTGCAAGTGTTGGTACAACGTGCAAAACGACAACGTGAACTTCATCACAGCGCCAGTTTTGAAGCTGAAACTGAGCTTTACCGAGAGTGGCTTGGAAAAGCTTCCCTCCAGGGCCACACGGGGCCTGTTCAGGCTTTCCTAGAACCTTTTCAAAGCCTCCCAAGAAAAGAGCGCATGGAGGCTAGAGTTCAGCAGTGGACTGCAATTTGGGGCAAGGAAAGCTCACATCAGGTCAAGTCTTTGCCGGCCATGATTGTCAAGGCCAAGGCCAAGGAACACGCAAGACAGATGCAACCAATCAATGAGAAGCAGGTTTGGAAGACCATCAAGCAGCTCTCCAACAAGGCCCCGGGGCTTGACGGCATTGGGTTTGACTTTCTCAAGGCTCTGCCCTATGCAGCCACCAAGGACATTGTAAGAGCAGGCCACAGTTCCCAATCAATGGTTGGTTGCACTGGTGGCACTACTGCCGAAATCGAAGGAGATCGAGAGACCCATAGCGCTTGTGGCGACGACGTACAGGCTGTGGTGCAGACTCCGGAACAACTACACCAAAAATCAGATAGAAGAAGAATTCCCTTGGGAGAGGGCTATTCCGGGCACAGAATGCCTGCAGGTTGCTTTGAAGAGGGCCTTTGTCACGGAACACAACCAGGCCATGCAGAAGACTGTAATCTCAGTGCTGTTGGACATGTCCAATTTCTATGACCGCACCAACTTGCAGAAGTTGGCTGAGCGTTGGCTGATGTCAAAATATCCAGCAACCCACGCGGCCTCTGCCATGAAAATCTATTGTGGTACAAGAATCCTGGAAGCGGAAGGAGAGGCATCTCGACAGAAGGAGACCCTCAAGCTCCTTTGGCGGCCAAGATCTACCCGCAAAAGGCCCTCAAAGGGACCCTACCAATGCTGTCCGGATAGCCATCCAAGCATACCACTACATCAAAGAATTTCTGGAGGAGGACAACTTGCAGCTTTCTAACAAGAAGACTGGCTTCATTGCCTCGAGTGTCGAGGCCAAGAGGATGCTCCAAGGCCAACTACCACAAGGTGGACCAGTTGTTCATGATGTGATGAGGGACCTTGGAGTTGACTGCGCGGCAGGGCGCCTGAGAAGGATCATGACCATGAGAGGCAGGCGCAAGAAGGCTGGCAACAAGACCAGGAAGATGAACACCCTGAAGATACCGCAAAGGGCAGTGAGATTGAAATTGTCCAAGGGCAGCGTCCAAGTAGGCGTAAGTTGGGGACACCAGGCAATGGGCCTGGCACCTCAAAAAAAGGTTACGCCTCAAATCTGCAATGGCTCGCCAAATGGGATTGCAACGAACAGGGAACGTTGGGAACATGGACATTGTCTACGACATGCAACCCCGGCACAAAGACCCGGACTATTTGTGAGTCAGGTGAAGGTTTACAGGCAGTTTTTTCAAGATTGGCCGGAACACCTCCATCGTGACCTGGCCAAAGCTTGCTAAGACCGCCTTCAACGAGCAAAGCGCCAATGGTGGCCCGTGGTCCTATAGCAGCACTCATCTGTTATATTCACGACCACGGGTGGGACACCACGCACTATGACCGGTGGACCCTTCCTGGCCACAACGGGGAGGATGAATTCCAGCTGAACATGCATTTCTCTGGTACTTCATCAAGGAAGAGCTCTACAGGGCCCAAGCCAGAGAGAGAATCACCACCATGCTTCATGAGATCCAGCGCCGCTGGATTGGGCACCATGGAGGAGATTTGCCAAGGAGGGCAACACCAGAGTTCAGACGGCTTTACGAACATGGCATCAAGGAGCACTTTTTACCAAGACATCGGAGGGCACAGAAGCTGGCCATTTGCACTGCCCGCGTTGCAACTAACCGGCCACAGCCATGCGTCTGACTTGGCTATGCAAAGAGACCAATGCACGTGGTCCGCTACTGGCAGCCGAAGATCAGAAGGAGTTCGATCAGGGCATCAACCTGGAATTCGGGCCGGCCTGTTCATCGCCTTTCCACAGGCGGTGCAGCAGTGCAGGCATGGGGATCCTGGACAACCCTTGATGAGCTCACCATACGAACCCGTGATGCAGTGACCATTGGCATTGCCGCCACAAGTGCAGATGCAAGTGTGCGCCACTGTGTACCATCTTTGCTCGGGAGATGGGCCATTGCCGCAGTCCTCCCGGGGAAACAGACGCAAGAGAGGGCGTGGTACTACGGGCTTCGCATGGTGGCTCACTACGTGGACCTGAACACCCCGGTGAGGATCCATGTGCTCTCGGTGAAGGCATGGGAAGCATGGGTTCAAGGCAAACACCAAGACCTCTTCTCTGACCTCAGCCAGCTTGTCACTTGGGACCAGCGGCAACGAGTGAGAGCTCTGAGTGCGACAAAGCAACAGGTGAAAAGCATGCCTACGACCGGGCTGTCCCTCAAAAGCAGATACCAAGACGCCAACAATTCAGCCATGGAAGTGGCCATTTCAGATTCCTGATTGACAGCCCAGGTCATTTCATCCATGGTCAAAAGGCCACTGGCAAAGAGCCCAGGCAAAAAACCAGAGAAGAGAAAAAGGCACTGTTTCTTGAAATCAGTGTCACCGGCAAAGAAGGTGGGCGCCAATGGGCACCGAAGGGCAATGGCCTACAATGCCAACTCTGCCAACGCCGGATTCATCAGCGCATGACCATGCAGCAGTTGCGGACAGCCAAGGAGGAGGCTTGTGAACTTGCAGCAGGACTTCCTTTGCGTGGAGGAGACCATCACATGGAGACGAAACAGGCTACATACAGGCTGGTAGAACACCAAGAAGGAGGACACCAGCTCAGAATCCAAAACATCTACTTGGTCTGCGAGCAATGTGGCATGCGCACCTTGCGGAACTCAGCCAGGGAGAAGATTCAACAACTCCATCAAAGCGCCTGCTGGAATGGCAAGTGGGAGCTGCCCAGACAACGGGCAGGTCATCCGACCCACGAGATGTGGCGGCGAGCCAACTGCGTCCAACGCAAGCAATGCCATGCTTGTGCAATATAGCCGACGGTGGCACTTGGAAAGCAAGTAAGCACTTGCAGAAGTTGTGCATCAAGAGCAACGAGAACACCCAGCTCCCGCTCTGCTTCAAGGCCAAAAAGGCCGAGGCTGAAGACAGCTGACGAAAAAGGTCCGAGAGGAGAAAAAAATAGAATTTGCATAGGAATACTTGCAAAAGCCTAATGGAATCCACAGTGCATGTTGTCATGCCAAGGTGAATCTTTGTATGTCTTTCAAGATCCTATTCACGAAGCCACTTTTTTGGATGTGTGGTTCGATTGAGGTCGTGGTGCCAAAGTGCTCTACGGAACGCAAATATCTTGCAACGAGACAGCTGATGATACGGACTGGCTTTTTGTGAAAGAGCTGATGATTTATATCGGCAGAGAGCATGTTATGGGAGTTGCTGTTGGGAATGAAGTTGAGTTGCTCCACACACAGCTCCTTGACTCACACAGGCTTTTGTGCATCTAGACTGTCTTGTTTTAAACCCAGCGGGAGGTAGGCCGCTAGAAGAAGGGTAGCTAGTAGCTTCAGTAAGCTTCTAGGTGAGAACGCAGGATAGTGCTTGCACTAATGATTTGGTTCCTAGTTTTTTTGGAAGCTTCATTTGGTTCTTGAGCAAGCTTAGCATGCAAACCTAAGGCAGACATGCAGCAAGAAATGTGCAGAGGACATGTTTCAGGGAGGGTGTCCTGAAACAAATGAGACTGACACTTGCTGACTATGTTTTGTGAGAGATGACTCATACACGGCTGCGTCGCCCACATTCCAGAGCTGACACTTTCTTGACTTTCAGGTATTTCTACACAAAGGTGATGCATCGAGCAAACGACCTGCAGGTGCCACTCTCAGTATTCAACTTATGATCTGAGAGTGCACCACACGGATGCGGTTGTGTTCATTTGAAATCATATTCGATGAAGAGCAGCAAGCGAGGTTATGAATGGCTTTGAGGATGTTACATTGACAACGGTGATGGGCGGTTTCGTTTTAGGCGAGTTGAAGTCTCAGCAAAGCACGAGAAAGTACACTCAAGTATCCCTTTCAGGAGGGTCGCCTTTCGTGAACACAAAGATTCTCGGCAAATTACAGTATTTGGGAACTCGAAGCTCCTTGCAAATTGTCCTGCGCCTGTGAATCAAAAGCAATACAGCTTCGGCAATGACTTCAGGGAAGCTGGAGTGCTTGATTTCTTCAAGAAGATCTATGCTAACTTTGGCCGGAGGTGGGCTTGGTCTTGGAATACGACGCTTGATCTGCGCTTATGGCTTCGAAGTCGCAGCCCGCAGAATTTGTTCTCTTCAGCAGCGAGGCTGCTAACACGCGTGCTTAAGCTTCACTGATTGAGTTGCTAAACCAATGGGATCCAGAGCAATGCTACCACTACAGTAGTTATCTTGGGATACATGTAGCTCGCGATTCTTACGCAACAAAAACTGAAGCAAAGCACATGGCAACTGTTGAACGTACCGGAAAGAACAGGCGTCCCAATGCACCAGCCATTTTGCATATTGTGTCATGCGCAACGGAATATATATATAATATACACATTTGCACCAAACCAACCTTCCAGCCTGACCAGAACAGGAAAGCATTACGGGCACCTGTCGGCATGCCTGGAAGAAAACATGCACAAAGGAACTGTGTGTGAGGTATCCAGGTCAAGTCCCAATTCCACTTATCCTATCGTGACATATGTCGTCGCAGCATGCAGCCATTTTATCACATTTGTGTATAAATGCTACTCTTTAAAGTTTAGCTACAGCCTCATTGCTGTCTTCAATCCCGTGGACATAACTTGCACGTCGTTTCAGAGCATTTGCAGTTGCACCTTGTCCCCAGCATTGACTTCCACTGGACCACAGCAATGCTTCACACCTGGAGGTTCTTTTTCATTCAACTTGGCCAATGTCAACGACTCCTGGCTTCAACGCTTGCTGTATCGAAACCCACACTCACAGTGAGCAGCTCAAAAAAGAAAAGGAGTTTAAGTCATTTGCCATTTGCAAACGCGGAAGTCCCCTGACATCTCAGAATGTACCAACCAGGTGGAAGAATGTGCCAAGCGAGTTTCTGCCACCGTTGTGGAGTCCATGTGGATCTTCCACCGTTGTGGGTCAGAATTCGGAGTGCCGACTCTTGCGATCACTGTTTTGTTGTATTGTAGGCATGCTAAACATACACATAGCTCAGTATGCTATACGGTAGTATTATGCATGCATTTGCGTATGTATGTAATGCCATGTAGCATATTCCTGTGCTGTGCTATGCGCGTGATGCTCCATCTATGTATGTGTTGTAGATTTGTCTCAGCTCATAGTTGCCAAAGAATGCATTTATACTGCCAAGGGAACTGCAACGAGTACAGCGCCTGTATATTGTACATGCTTTGACTTGTCAAAGGAAGTTTAGAGAAACTTCCGTGTTACGAACATTTACATCACTCATCATACACCACTCATCATACACCACTCATCATCCAGTTAAGAGCTCTGGCTCCAGTTAGCTCTAGTTTCAAGAGCTCTAGATCAGGAGAAGGTATTGCTCTACCACCAGCTGGCATTACCGATGTGCCCCAAGTAGAAGAAGGGAAGTGAGACGACTTACCCGACCCACTTCACAAATGGTACTCGAGAAAGAGAAAGCTGTGAAGAATGTTGCCAGCGTATTCCAGAACCTGAGGCCAGTTCTTCATGCAAGAATGGGCGAGACTGTCGGAAAGTCACAAGCAGCCTCTCAGAAGGTCAAGACAAGCTCCCAGGAAGAGAAGGTAAAACGGTCTGTTGGGGATGGGTGGGAGGAACGTGTACCAAAGGCAACGATTGCAAGTTCTTTCATGACCGAAGGTGCCAAATAAAACCAAAGCTTCCACGAGCCCAAGGTGAAGCCCAAGCCCAATCTTGGAACACCTGCCCTTGAAAATTGTGCATCAGTTGAGGATTCCGATGATGAAGATACCTGCACCATCGTGCACCAACATCAACTTGAAGAAGATCACTGGGATGGTCTCCCTGTGGGAAGAGCAGAAAGGAGCGCTCTCACCAGAAGGAGAGATTGATGATGATGTTGGGAAGATCATCGTTATTGATGCTGTGTTTCTGCAAAGAAGTCATGTGACAAAGAAACCTTTGAGACCAGATGTCAAGAGACACGCCGACAAGCGGCTCAACAACAAAGTCGCCAAGGAGCAGAGCAGATTTGATACCCAGATCGCGGAAGCGAGGCCAACTCTCATGAAGCCTTACACAGATATCACGCCAATTGTCAACCTTCTTCTTCTGTTTCTCAAGCTTTCTCTCAATGAAGGTCTGGCGTTCAGCTACCATGGTGTCTACCTGACAAGACTTGGTAGTGGGAAACAATAACTTCTGGTAATCTTTGCGACGTCGTATCACTTCACATCGATTGTGGTCCTCCCAATAGTCAACCACTGTGCAACACAAACCCAGCTTCACTTCCACAACCTGCGTTCGCAGAAATATGTCCATACTCATAGGGGGTGAAGTGTGATGGCGCGCGTACATCTGACAAGTACCATGCACTCTCGGAAGTCCAACGAGTACTGGCTGCTACCTTCAACTCGAGATGCCTGATGCCTAATGGCAAAGATGCCCGAAAGGCATGTTGAGGTGTCAACCTCGCTTCAAAAATCTTCAAATCCCACATTCCTCATCTGTGGTGAGCTCATCAGCGAAGGAGCTTCACCTTGCTTGACAACGTCGAGCTTTGTGTTGTGGTTCGACCAGCCGCAATCATGCATGTTAACCACAAGCTTTTGAGCGCAAGTTGCCTTTTGTGAGTTCGCAAAGTAGAACTTTGTCTTTAGGGGATTGGTGTTGTACCACAAGCCGGTCTCTGGATGTCTACCGACAAAACTGGAAAATTCAGCGAGCGCTCTTCTTGATGTCATTGCTTTTGTGCAACCAAAGTCCAAGATTGCAAGTGTTGGCGGGAATCGGTTCTCAGTTAAACATGCAATACCTCTCTTCTCTTCACCTTCTTCGCTGACAACCGAAAAGTCCTCATGGGTGCGTGAGGCTTCTCCTCTGACAATGAGTTCCTCTGACTCAAGTCAGTGGATTCCACAATACTTGTGAGGACCTTGAAGGAAGGGGTTGTCGCTGCTGGTTTGGTCAGTTTGAGTTGGATTTTCCATTCCTTTGTTTCCCCTTTCATTTCTTTCCTTTGTTCCTTCCTTTTTTTTAAACGCTTCTGTTGGAATACCATGCTTTTTCAAATTGTCCATGCTGCTCATCAGCAAAGTAATTTTCTATGAAAACGAGTTTCTGGGGGTGCATTCACTTGCGGACTCCGCTCCAACATCCCTTGCCCCGTGAGAGCGAGTACTGTTTGACGGGTATGCGTAGGGGCGCGAAGTGGGACTAAGAGCAGGATTGCGGATTGATTCACAATGTGCTCAGGAAAGCAGTTCATTCTAAATCAGGACTCCTAATGACCATTGGCAGGTAAGATTGTTTGACAACCTTGTCAGGCTGCCAGCTTTTTGCACTTTTTCCAAAGTCAACATGGTGTAAAGCGGTGTTGCTGGTGGGCACAGCTGCGCGATACACTTTGTATTTCAGATGCTAATCTCATAGGTTATACAGTTATACAAGGGGATGCACGCGGTCTGTCGGAAAGCGCGAGATGAGGTACCCATATTTCGATCCCCATATCGTCATGGACGAGGCTTGGGGCTTTCCAACTCATGTTTGATGAGTACATGTTTGATGAGCATACATTGATTGACATATCTTTGTCCAAAACTGCAATTTGACTTTCAACACTGTGAATGTTGGCAGCTTGCCAGGGGCCTTGGCACACATGCAGCAAAGCAATGATGGCAGCAATCAATTTTGCGCCTAGAAATTCGGCCTTAATCAAGATTGCAGGAAATGATGCAACCCACATTATAGGTTTTGATTCTGGTTTCTGGCTACACCTTCACGGCGCTTTTGTGTCCGAGGCAGCATGTTGCCTGGACAGTTGCGGGAACTCAGGAGAAATGAACGAATGAGCGGGAAAGAACTCAAAGGGAGTACAAACGTCCTTTTTGTTGTCACCCAAATGTGTCAAGTTGATATTGACACGAGTGAAAAAACAGTGCGAAAAATTGCTAGCCACCCGCCCTCTCTCCTGCCTTTTTCCAATTCATATCTATCTATATAATGTTTGGTTGTTTCTTTAGTCTTTCATGAACAAACGTTTGCCTCCCTTCGCGCGTTTTCTTTCTTTTGACTCTTTCCCTTCCTGATCTTCCTGCTTGTTCCTGCTTGTTTTGATTTCTTCAAGTTATACATCTCCCAGTTTGAATGCCTTCGCTTCTTGAAATTTGTGTGAAATTTCCCTGTTGTTGGTATCTTGTGTACAGCCGAGTTCTGTCCATGGTGCATTCCGCCACCATTTGGTTTTTTTAAGCCCTTGAGCTTACCCGCGCTTACGCCTGCGTGAAAACGCCGTTGGACGTCGCGGTCAGGACCAATTTCACATTGGTAGCGGAGCAGGTTCGGGTTCGCCCCACTGCATCCATCAACCCGTAAATCCGCCGATCCAGGATTCGTTCGTGCGTTCGTGCCGAGAACTTGCAACCAAGTGTTCTTGAAATTGCCCGGTGAGGCCTGACAGACAGGAATGTCGGTCGCAGGGCTTCGCTTTAATCCCGACAAGAATTCAGCAGGCGGTGGTCATTTGGAGACCAAATCTGGTTCGTACATCTACTATGGTGATGCCGCGTCGTTTCATGACTGGGAATTCCGCACCCGCCTTCGCATTCGTTTGTGGAAAGAAGGCAGCAAACACATGAGCCATTCCAGAAAGAGTACACCAGCGACAACACCAAAGAAGGGTGACACGCCCAATGGAGGTACTGAGGAGGACGCTGAGCTCCCAGGTTTCCCTCCTGTTGAACCAGAAGATGATGAATAAGAAGAAGAAGAAGTAGTAGTATTGCCAATGAGGAGGCGAAGGAGTTGTTCCGTGGTGGCCAGAAGCACGGAGGCCCTTTGTCTCGCCTCTGTCCCGCCAGGAGATCCTTGTGACAAAAGCGTAGAACTTCGAAGGGTATTGCAAGGTTCTCGTTGACCACTACTCAGGAGTTCACCTCAGAGAAGGTGGCAAGACATGGCAAGGCCGCTCTTCACCTATGACTGGGCATCAGCTCCAAGAGGGTCAATCGCCGATGCTTTTGTCGCTTCATGCACAGTCCCACTTAGGCCTTGTGAAGGATTTGGCAAAGGGCGCCATTCATATTGAAGGTCACCAACTTCCCATCTTTCGTTGCAGCAAAACAGGTCTTTTGATGATTTCGTTGACCGGGGGACTGATCGATGCCACCCGGAACTTCCAGAGTGTGCCGAAGTGTCATCGAAAGGTTCGCTGTTGCTACATGGCTCGAAATGTTGCATCCATTTCCCCAGACCAAGGGTCGGGTAACGATCCAGAAGCCGCCATGAACGAGTATTAGCATTCATTGGCCAGAGATACAAAGAGCGCAAGGATGCGCAGACTGCAATCGATCTGACACAGACAAACGTTTTGATCGTGAGCAAGGGAGCCCGGTATGAACAGCCTTTGTACCGGTGCAGTAGGCCGTAGGCCACTGCTGAGGGTGGACCTCAAGAAGTTGAATGATCCTGCAAGAGACAGACCGCCCACATTGGAACACATCCTCGAATTCTTGGAGCACTCCTTGGACTTGAAGAGATGAGAGGTCATCTTCAGAACGCGCGTGATTCCAAGGATGGTGGTTGCGTTGTTGAGTTTGGCTGCAGCGGTGGTCGCCATAGATCAGTTGGAGGAGCTTCATGCCTTTCTGCAATAGCAGTTGAGCTTGGATACAGCGTGACGCTTGTCCATTATTCGTCGGAACATTGGAGCAGCATGCGTTGCGGTGGCGCTTGCCGCGAATGCCAGGACGTGTCCGCAGGTCTTGACCTTTGCAAGCGGCATGGTTGGGCGCAGATGACTGCAATGCCAGTTGGCGTGCGGCGCACGGTATCCCGAGGGGACCTCCGCCGCCACCTCCGCCAGCTGAGGAGACTCCGAGGCCGTCGACTTCGAAGGTGATCCCAAGAGCAGCTCGGTATAGTCGAGGGTCTACTCACGCAGTCAGAGAGATCCCGAGATACAAGAGATTCAACAGATGAAGCATCCACTATTCAAGGTCATCATCCAGAAGACGGCAGAGATCGGAAGCTAAAGGAGCTGACTGCTACCGTTGAGAAACTTGCAAACGTCATTGAGCACATGTCCAAGTCTCAGAAGTCAGAGCCTGTTGAACTCAAGCCCAAGCAGAGATCGCGTTCGCCGAGAAGGAGACGTCGCAGCAGCCGGGATGACTCGCGGACCCCGCGCCGGGGCCGGAGGCAGCGGTCGCGCGCCCGGCGCGATTCAAGATCTCGAAGAAGATCTCCACTGCCGAGGAAGAGTCCGGTCGAAGACAAGCCCCTCGCCAAATAGGAGTCCAGTGTCGAGGAGCCCCGTGAAGATTGCGCCCAAGCATTCTTCAGGGCACCGCAGTTTGCCTTCTCGCCCAAGCGCTCCTTCCAAGCCTTCGAGACCTATAGGTGCCGCTCCATGGCAAAATGTTTGTCCAGGCCGTGCGACCAAGTATGAGCACTCCGATTGGGAGGACTGGAGTGACCGTGAATGGAAGGAGGACAGCAAAAGAGGACATAACCGGATCGACAAAAGCTGGATTGAACTTTCACGGACAAAGGAGCGTGCAAGACCTCGTTCTCCACAGAGTACACCGAAGAGTACACTGCTGGTGACACCTGTGCGAAAGACTACAATGTCCCATGATCCTCTAGAGGATATCTTGCAGGAACCCATCGTGAAGGAGATCAAAGAATGCAAGGGACCAGGCCGGATCCAGTCAATCAGGCCTTTGGTCAAACAAGCGTTACTCGCAGGTTGCAGTGAGGGGCAAATCCGACGGAGTTGACAAGTGCACACCTCGACGAGCTTGTCTCACTGGCCCGTCGCCACAAGAACCGTGATCGAATTTTCCGGATCGCAGGCGGCGAATCACCGTCGTTGTGCGATGGAGAAGATCACCAAGGTGTTCGTGTGAACTTGCGCATCAAGGGTGGCTGTCACACCACCTATTACTATGTGTCCTACAATAGCCACACCATGAGTGGCTGGCTCAAGACAACGTTCGTCCGTGACAGGAACACCGACACTGAGCCGCCAGGCCCTTGGTATTTGGCTGAGCACATGTTCAAGATCGATCGCCGCAAGAACATCGACAATTCGTGTTCCGACATGGTCACGTTCGCATATCCACCGTCGAATGCCGGAGGTGAAAAAGTTTTGCGCTCAGATGCCGAGGAGAGTGTTGGTCGACTTTGTGTTAGGACACCCCCAACACCACCAAAGCCGTCTAGGTTGCGTGTCAAACTTGTAGAAGCTTTGCCAAGGGTTGTCTTCAAGGAAGAAGATTCGTCGTCGGACACGGAATCCACCACAGCTGATTCGTCGCCGACCTGTGCAAGAACCCCTTGTGGGAACCTCGCATGTTTCGAACCTTTTGCGTTCGTGGGTACCATTGATTTGGACCGAGCGAATCAGACGTTGTGGAACCACCCATTGCCAAGGAAGATGATTTTGAACCACCTTCAACAAACGAGCCGCCTGAAGCAGACCTCACGGCTGCATTCGTTGCAATTATTCCAGAAGAAACAACCACTTTGAGTAGGAAGGGTCGCAAGCAAGTCATGGAGGGATTAGAAAACCTGAGCACTCATGACCACTGTGTGCAATATCTTTGTGGGTTGAAATCCATTGATGCCAATCCTCCCACTGTTTGCATCATCGCTGACCATCCATCCGTTTTCCAGGACAATGACTTTGACGTCTTGGATGCCGGTCACGACGAAGGAATGCTGGGAGAGGTTATAATTCGCAAGAGATTTTTGCCCAGCACGATTTCATTGTGACTAGCCATTGGGTACTCTGGAAATGAGATCCCATTAGGACATGCAAGACTGCTTCACGAGCGAGAAATGCATGCCGAGGCAGATGAACGTACTCGCTTTTTGCACATTGATTCATCCACCACCACGAGATGGGAACAGCATGTTTCGCAACAGACCCCATACTTGACTGATCATTTGGGTTTTACATGCAATGATGAACAAGTCCAAAAGAGCTTCGAAGATTGGAGCCAGGGCAAAACAATGGACCATGTACTGTCTTCAGACATGGGTTCGTGGTTGAAAGATTTGCTTGTGACTTGACAGTGACAGATTTTGCTGTCTACTGCATTTCCTGCTTTCGTGCAAGAAGAACGTGTTGAGCACCTTCCGACCATGGATGTTGTGGAAGGGGAGCAAGATGTAGGAACCATCAACCCTGTCCCTAGTTGATCGAAGAGGAGACCTTGTTGGATGAAGTGGACATCCCAGGACTACCTCTCGAGGAGTCTGACAAACGCCGCCAGTGGCGTAAGCTTCCGTGAGACGTTTGCCCCATCAGTTTGGCCATATCCCCCGCAAGGTTTTGATCAACCTTCTTCGTGCAGCTAAGGTACATGAGGACTTTGTGAAGGCCGTTCGATTGCACCGTTGCCAAACGTGTGAAGACACCAGCCAGAAACAGCCAGCACACAAGACCCAGTTGCCATGGGATTACAGGTTCAATCACACCCTGGGCATTGATTTGTTCGAAGTGATTGCCATCGATGGCGCAAAGTTCCAAGTTTTGAACATGGTTTGCGTTGGAACCACGTTTCAGCTAGCGCATGTTGTGAGGCAAGGCCCAGGCCAGTGTTCTTCAAGTACTTGCTTGAAAGCTTTGCAGGAACGATGGTTTTCGTGGGCTGGACACCCTGTGCAGATCATTTGTGATCGAGGGTTGCGTAACCGAGGTGTTCTGCAGAAATACATGGATGAGCACAACATTCCTTTTTCACGCCCAGCTGGAATCCGAATCCCCTGAAGGGATTGGCCGTGTTGAGAGGCATGGAGGATTGCTCAAAGCATGCGTCGCAAGATTTGCCATGAAATCCAAATTCAAGGCAGAGAACAGGTTGAGACCGCTTTGTCTCAAGCCTGTACGGTGAAGAATGAGTTTCACCAAGCCAATGGGCTTTAGGCAAGGGACCTCGAGAAGCCCCGAGCATTGTGTCAGAAGAACAGTGGGCGCAGCTAGGAGCCATTGAAGCAAAGTATGATCCTACAAGCATATTTGCGTTGCAACACCAAGCCCGCATGGAAGCACAGAAGGCTTTTGTTCACCTAGATTGTTCCCGGAGAGTGCAGAAGGCGCTACTCAGAAATGCATCGACCATCAAGCACACCTATTCGGTAGGAGATTCTGTTGTGTTTCGTAGGGACAATCAGCGTGGAGGTACGCAATGGTCACCGCCTGCAAGAGTCATAGGTCAAGAAGGTCAGAAGAATCTATGGTTGCTTTGTGGTAACGTTCTGTTTTGGTAGCTGCCCAAAACGTCAGACCTGCAACCGCATCGGAGGCCTTAGCACTTAGCATTTTACACGGTGATCCGATTGTTCCCGGTGAGATTGTAGAAGGAACAAGTCAACAATCCTTTCTAGATGCTCGCATGAGAGGCCATGAAGATGTTGACGATGAGCCACCTCAGCCTGTCGCAGAAGGACCATCCTATTCACCGGAACGACTTCCGCCTGTTCCGGAAGAGGATAGTGACATCTGGCAGATTAGCCCTGAGATCTTTCGAGAAGTTCCTGATGGAGAAGAAGAAGGAGAAGACATCAGTGAAGACGCCGGAGATCCAAGTTCTGCCGCATCAAGAGGTACAGCACGCCGGAGGCCTGCGCCCTCAGCAGCCGGTCCGTCGCTAAGAGCTGTCCGTCCAAGGACTGGAGAGCCCGAGTCAGAGCCATCTCGAGATTCGAGAAGATCATCAAGTGAGACTCCAGCATCATGGCCCATGGCCGAATGTAGCAAGCAATCTGGACGATTTGCCGCTATCGATCCGACAACATTTGGAGAGAGCTTCGCAGCTTGCAGAGCAAGATCCTTCGACAACTGCTAGTCTAGCAGCTGGGTTTTTGGCGCAATACACCGAAGACAATGAGAAGCGAGTGCTTCGTAGCATTGACTTCGAGACAGCGCCGCCAGAGACCCAGGAAGGGCTTCGCAAAGCAATTGAAAAGGAACGGGAGAAATTCCTTCATTTCGGAGCCGTTGTTGTGATTGAAGGGGCCGAGAAAGACGCATTGTTGCAGCAAGGACATGTCATGATTCCCAGCAAATGGGTCCATGTAGACAAGAATGAGTCCAAGAAGCACGCGCGCGACTATCAGCCGAAGTGGAAGAGCCGATTAGTGTCGCGCGGAAACTTTGAACAGACAGAAGGCATTCGCTCTGATTCTCCGACCGGAGATAGCGATTTGCACATGATAATTACCGCATGGGCTTCCGTTGTTGGAGCCAAATTGCATTCCGCAGATGTAAGTAATGCTTATTTCCAGTCAGAGCCATTGGATCGAGTACTTCTTTTGCGACAGCCACGAGGCGGACTGCCTCAACTAAGTTGATCCGAACGCCGCGCGTGTTGGTACGAGTTCCCGTATATGGACTCACAGACAGTGGAAGATCATTTTGGCTTCGCTTGTCGTCAGATGCCAAGAAAGCTGGACTTACTCCGAGCATCGTTTGCCTCGCATTCTTTTACAAGCTCGATGAGAAGAACCGTCGCATTGCCATGCTGACAACACATGTCGATGACTTATTGTATAGCTACTTGCCAGAAGCAAAGGAAGTGATGGATTCGTTGTTAGGTTCCTATGAACTAGGTTCACTGGAGGAGACGAACTTCCGCTACTGCGGTAAATCTTTTGGCGAACAGAACGCTACGCCTGAACGATCAAGAAAATCAAAGTGAACAACAGCCAGAAGATGTCAGAGAAGTTGAGCCCAGATCAGATCACGAAGTTGAGATCTGTTGTTGGCTCGTTGGCATGGGTAGCAAGACAGGGACGCCCTGATTTGGCGTACCGCGTCAGCTATCTTCAAACGGCGATCAACGGCGCGACCGTTGGACTCCTGCGTGAGTGCAATAAAGTCGTCGATTTGGCGCACAAGCAACTCGAAGATGTCGTGTTTCAATTTCCAAGAGATCATTTGAAGACAACCGATTGGCGCAATGTCGGTATCATCACAGTGACAGATGCTTCATTCTGCAACGAGAAAGGTTTCAAGTCGCAACAAGGCCGTGCGCACCTTTTGGCCAATGTGGAGCAGATGAAGGATGAGAATGTGTACACTCACCATGTGCTGCCATGAGGCTTTTCCTCCACGACAATCAAGAGAGTGTGTCGTTCGACACTCCAAGCCGAGACATATTCGCTGCAATCCGGTATAGAGAGCGGAGACAAAATCCGTGCCCTTATCGCTGAGACGAAGGGTTGTTTGCGCAGCCGCAAGGACTGGGAATCCGTTATGAGATCCTGTGTCCCGCATTTGCAATTTTCGGATTGCCGTTCGCTTTGCGATCACCTCGACGCAGAGACACTAGCCAAGGTGTCCGATAAGCGACTAGGGATTGAGTTGGCCGTAATCCATGAGAACTTGTGGCAAGGACCACAGAGGACATGGAACATTTTCCCGAACGGAGGAGATCGTCTTGACTGGATCAGCGCTCGCACGATGTTGAGCGATTGTTTGACCAAGAGCATGAAGCCGGACCTACTACTTTCGGTCCTTCGATCGTGCATCTACCAAGTTGACAAGAACAAGGAGAAACGACGAGCAGAACAATGAACCGTAGAAGAGCATAGATTTGCCGAAGAAGAGAAGAGAAGTTTCACTAACTACGGAACTACTTGTAGAAATTCCTGTATAGCTGGCGGATTTGTACATTAGATCCCGGACAGACTTGAAGAACAGGTTGAATGTGAATTTCGCCTGTTGTTGGTATCTTGTGTACAGCCGAGTTCTGTCCATGGTGCATTCTGCCGCCATTTGGGTTTACAGGGCCCTTGAGCTTATCCGCGCTCACGCCTGCGTGAAAACGCCGTTGGACGTCGCGGTCGGGACCAATTTCACATTTGCTTTCATCGTGTTGTGTCGGTCTTCTTTGACTGTTGCCAAACTCATTGCTGGATGTGTGCCGCAAACATGAAACTAGTTGGTTGAGGCGACTATGTGCCTTCCCACTTGTTTCTTTAGATGCGTGTTGGCAGGCTTGGCTGCCACGATTTCTATTGATAATTCCACAAGGATTGCTGTTGGGGGATCTCTGATAGACAAATTGTTGGCAGCAGTGCTTTGGTCCCAATCACTTTTCCCTTTGCAACACCAGGGCAGTGCCCAGGTCTGTTTCAGCAGCTTGAGCTGTCGCAGCCGTTGTCCTATGCGAAACTTCTATGTCCATTTGCCTGTGCCTGGAGCTTGTTTGGGGCCTTGGTCATGCTTTTCTTTCTTGACTTATGTGCAGGGATTGGTTTTGTGTCTACTACTACACTGTCTCATCCAAGCCATGTCAAAACCGAAAAAATGCTGCAGCTTGGGCTCTGTGGGATAGTCCACACATTGTGGCATGTGTGGACACACTTTCGCGAACTGCTTGCCGTTTACTGATGTGTCTCCCAGTCTGGTTTGCCCTTTCCCTTCTTGCTTTGTATTGTCTCTCAATTTGGGATGCTGTGTCCATTTTTGCTTCCCGGATGGTCTTACGAATGTGCATTCTTTTTCTCCCAGTCCCAGTCCATGCTATATTGAAAATACGACATGTAACATTATGTGCTTATTGCAGAAGAGATCTCAAATTCACAGAGCAAACACGGGTTGCGTTTGAGCACGCCGTAAAATGTGCGGAGATGTGTGGTGTGGGAAAGACCACCGTTTTGGTACAACAGTCGGGCGATGAAGGTTGGAACTTGCGTTCTTGGAGTGCTCCTTTGTTGAGTTTCTTTGGTTCGAATTGTGAAGCTGACTGCTGCCTGTGCATTGTGAACGGATGTGTTGTTGTTCCGGAGGACCAGAATGCAGCAAGTTACAGGGAATGTGGATGATACTATGTGGTCTTGACCCTAGACAACGTAACAGTTTGATCAGACAGCTTGCTCTCTTTGTGGCAAAGGCTGACTGAAACTGGTTGGTCATACCCTCGGGCTTCCACCCTATCCACCGTCATGAGAAATTGTGCGGTGGCTGGGCAATTTGAAATCAGATGAGCTCTATCATCATGGTCAATGTCTGATTTTCTTTGAACTTTAATCCTTGATACTGTTGTGCAGACCCAAGGAATGGTCCACGAACGAAGCCTTTGCACTGTATTATCAAGGCTTTCTGGAGTGGGACCTTTCACTTGGACCAAATGTAGCTTTTCTGCATCTACCAGTAGGATTGGCAAATGTTGGTGGGTGGTTGCATTTGTTCAACCTGGTACGAACGCCAGCGCACGCCAAATTCAACCGCGTTTTGAGAAAGGGTTCAACATGTGTGCCCCAATGGCTTTGAAGTAAGCCTCTGTTTGATTTGGTGAGCAAGCAGAAGGGGCCATGCTTGTATGTCTCGCCAATGTGTTGCTTTATTGTTTTCATGTGAGGTTCGCGGGTTGGACCATGCTTTCTTTTTCACCTTGAGGGATTCCATTAACTTCGGAGACAAGGACAGAATGCCTGTTGCGCAACACATGTTTTAATATATACAATCCTTGAAACATTCATGAACGTGGAAAAACACCTGTTTGTAGAGTAACACAGTCATCTAAGGGGTCATTTTCCACTTCCATAATTGTTCCAGGGAGTGTACACAATGTATTGCCATGTAACTTGCAACGTGGATGACACAGAGTTTGTTGATGGAAAGCTGGTCACTCACCACGCGTGAAGTTTTTCTCGGACTGCAAGACTGCACTGCAAGGGATTGCCAGGAGAATTTCGGCCTTATCCGCTCGTGCAAATCCCGTGGTTGCAAAATGAGGCACCATGAGGCGCATTCAATTGGGTAGTTATATAAGCACACGTGTTTGTAGAAGAACATGTGGCCTCAAAAAAGATTGCCAAAGGAAGTGCATAAAGGGTAGCAAGGGATTGACAAGTTGCAACGTTTGACAACCACAAGACATTCATGTTCTGTTCTGCAAGCATGTTGTGCAAGCTCCTTTTTTGCGAGAGTTAACTGCCATCCTTCCATCCGTTCCAACAAGGGAGTTGTCTGAAACTTCTGGACTTGGAGGAGATGGGCTTTGCTTGTGACGTTTTGACGTTTGCAACACATATGTCATGTCTTGAGCAAGTTTTCCAAAACTCTACATATAGAAATCTGTACAAGCACCATTGACTTCGTTTGACATATTGCACAGCTGCTTATAGTTTCTTTCTTTCCAAGCAATTGTGTACAAAGGATATATAAGTGCGACACCGACAGTTCGTGGCCAGAGTACTTCCCCCTCCTTCGCACGCGATTTAAGTTTCCCCAAGAATCTAGGAACCAATCATTTGCGCGTGAGCTATCCTGCGTCCAGTTACTAGAAACTAAGTTAGCCTAGTAGCTTACTTCTCCCTTACTTGATTAAGTAGGCGCCTACTTAATTAAGTAGGGAGGTGGGGCCGAGCGGGCCAAAAAAGGGGCTTTTCTTTTCCAATGTTGCCTTGGTATTGAATCATTTAGTCCTTCGGCTGTGAGCACGAACGCTTTGAGTTCCACATTGCACATTGACTCACCCTGTGTTTCCTTGGGTTGTTCTGGGAGGCTGCTGGGGGAATGGGGAGTGGCATACGGCTGAAGCGAACACCTTAAGCTTTTTGCCAGACCCAGATTGTTTATTGAAGATTCCAACACACTTAGTAACATGTATAGTGAGTGGCTGTGTAAGTAACTCATATCTGCGTCAGAATGGTGCGGATCACAGCTGGTCCAGTCACAATAGAAGTCCAAACCGAAACGCTGGATGCTGATTGTCTACACACGTGATCTACGTGTGGGTCAAAGGATCATAACTAAATGCAGCGGTGCACATTTTGACAGTGTCGCTCAGCTTTACAGTCCCATAGAAGAACATTTTGCAATTCTTGCGCTGACGTTGACATGAGACTCTACATGTTCTTCCCTAGCTTGTTCAGCTGGGAGGATGCTTCAACAAACACTTCCTTCTACCAATTCAAGGGTGGCAAAGGTGCAAAGAACTCCAGCCAGGCCGCTTGTGCTTCACAGTATTGGTTGGAAGACGGACGACATAAGGTCACGCAGATGGAGGTACATCACTGCACGTGTCAGTGATATCAGAACTCTTGGAAGAAACAGATCGATGATCAGACAGGGTGTGTGAGCAAACCATAATCACTTCCGAGCCGAATAGGTTCAGAATCAGTCAGACATTTCGTCCGCTCAGTTAGACATGCCGTTCTTGACAGGAAAGTTGGTGAGCGCGGGGTGACAATCACTGCTGGCAAGCATCAAAATTCATTGGTGCTGCCTGCCTACAGGTCTCACCAAAAAGTAGTTTGCCCTGTGCTTGCGCCAGCTAAACAGTCTTTGCCGTGGGTGGCGCATGGCCAGGTTCACGTAGACAAAGATAGTAGGAAGTTGAGAACCATTTTGCATTGCCGATCCAGCTTTGTTTAAGTGAAGTATGAAATGAATGCCTGAATCGAATAGAGCTGGAAGCTTTAATCCGGGACGTCTAGCCACTTGTTGCATTTGAAGAGCATTCTTGCCGCAGCCTGTTTTGAAGAACCAACAATGATATAGGCAATGATGCACGTAAGCTTGGATTTACACACAAGCTCTTGTGCATTGCAGCTGCGGCAACGTGACAAGGTCTCACGGAACAAGTACACGTACTTCCTGTTGGTTGTGGGGCAGACGATCTTTTTGGCTGGCACATCAAAGATCGGACGATTACAATACGGTGGGGTAGAGCAGCGCGAGGAGCCAAGAAACACACAATAGACCAGGACGACAAAATCTATATCTAGTCGATATCTAGAATCTATACCCTGTACTACTTCTCCTGTTTGTATCCCACCTTGCCCTACATTTATTTGGCATAGTGTATTGCCGGGAGTGGTGATCCGGGAGTGGTTATACAGCTACGGGATTCGTGATTCGTGATTCGTCATTCACGATTCGCTATTGAGATCCGTGATTCGTTATTCATTTCGTGATTCGTGGCTCATTATATATTCGTTATTCATGATTCGCTACTGAGATCCGCGATTCGTGATTCATTCCATAATTTGTGATTCGTGATTCGTTGCTGAGCTGTGTGATTCGTTATTCGTCTCCTGATTCGTGATTTGTGATTCGTTACTCAGCCACGTGATTCATGAAATGAAACAGGTGACCTGTGAGCTTGTGATTTTTCCAGTACAGACTCCTGAAAATTCAGGTTAATTCATGGATTGAATGTCAAAGAGTCAAAGTGATTCACTTCATGATTCGTTGTTCGTGAGTCGATACTGAGATCCGTGATTCGTGATTTGTGATTCGCTACTCAGCCGCGTGATTCGTTATTCTTGCTTCGCTAGTGAGATCCGGGATTCGTGATTAGTTTCGTGATTCGTGATTTGTTTCTGAGCCCTGAGTCTCAAAGCATTTTTGATATAGTCGTTTCTTTTTTTAAAAGTAAGTTGAGTGCAGGAGTTGGGACGAATTGTAAGCTGAATGGAGAGGAATGGGCTATTAGGAAAGGGGTAGAAAGTTAGAAAGAATCCCCTCATATATAAGTATTACGTAAACCCTTAGATAAGCTGTATTTTGTGTTTATGCACGCCCAAAGGCTGTGCAAGCAAATGATGCACCCTAACGCTCTGCGAGCAAATGCGCGTCCTACTTTGTCACTTGTTTACTCTGCCCTTTTACCTACTCTCTACTTGAAGAATGGCATAAAAAAGGAGGCAGAAAGGGAAACGATGTGAACATGCAAACGTGCAAAAGGACTGGAGAGGGGTGCTGGTCTAAGGGAAGGACAAACGAGAAGTAAGGCGACAAGAGAACCTTTCTGGTCGTCATTCTGCAAGATGTCCTGGAAACATGTTGCCCATACTTTCTTTCTTCATGTCCTCCGTTACTCAGAAAGCAGGCTGTGCAAAGCAAGTCTGTAAGAGGAATGGATCACGCAACAAGGATCAACAAGGGCAAAGAACAAGATTACACCCCGTGATATTTTCCAAATGTAGTCGCTCTAGTGGCACTTGTATTCTGTCTACAAGTATGCTCCTCTCCTTTGCGTTCCTCTACCTGGATAGTGATTAGTCACTAGTCTAGTCTATCGTCTTTGCCACATTAATTGAAATTCGAGTTGCACTGTTGCAAGGGTTTCCAGTAGTGGTTAGAGCCAAGATCTTGCACAGCCGACTGGCCAACTAGAACTACTATATAGACTATATAGTTTGTCAACCGCAGACCAGGACTACTATATGTGTGGATATATATATATACATATAATAGTTTGTCACCCTGTGTTCGCTCTGCATTGTGCTACTTCTCCGGTTTGTATTCTACCCTGCTCTGCATCTATTTGGCATGGCATATTATCAGAGTCTCATTGCATTTTTGATATGATTATTTTTGGAACAAAGTGCAGGGGTTGGGATGTCGCTGAATTGAGAGGAGTGGGCAGAGGATAGAATGTCATAAGACAGCACCCTTTTTCTTCCGCGTGTTATATAACTCTTTCCTCTGTTCTTTTTCTATACGCCCTAAAGCAGCTATGCCGAGCAAATGCGCTTTACCTGCCCTCTGCCAATGTATCGCCCTCCACTATGGTCCACGGACTCCTTTCATGCTTCATAATCTTTAGCCTTGATACTATACACAAGGGCGAAGTAGGGTAGAGCAGCCGTCGAGCAGATAGCGCGGAAAAGAGATTGTTATTTGTAAAGGTCCCCATCACATACATACATATTGATGTATATAGCCTGTATAGGCGTTTAAGTGCCAAGTGCAAAAAGGCTATGGGCTTTGGCGGATTAAGAAGCACCGCATAGACAATTCTCAGCACAATCCTCGGACTGCCATGGTCACAAACTGGGGAGAAGTGTGGTAGTGCAGTGCGGCATACAAGCCTCGTTCTGCAATGGATGAGTGTGTGGACTTCCTCACCGCCGAAGAAAAGAGCTTTGTTCTTGTGATACGCGAACAGTTTCGTGACGAATTGACCACTAGAAGGGAGCAAGGCAAGGCATTTTCTTGCTTCTTCGGTTCTGTGGCAATTGCTCGAATACTTCAAGCTGTTGATGGACACACCGATAAGGCCATTGAATGGTTTCAATCACTTTTGCGAACGTTGTCAGAAGAAAGCACAGAAGCACTAGTGCTGAATGTCCTTGAAGCCTTTGCAAAACACAACTTTGTCGTTGATGCAAGCATTTTGCCCCACTATGACACTGTAAAAGACTTTTTCAATGCAGAGCTTTGTGCTCCCAAGCTGTCGTCAGATGGCGACATGATCATGTATTTGCCACTTGTTGATCTGGACAGGGATGGCATTTTGCAGCACTTGGATTGGGATCATTGGGTGAAGTTCAGCCGAGCAAGCACCATCCTTCAGTGCGCGGCTTTGGACAGAATCTCTCGAGGATGCAGCAAAGTAGTGAAACTTGTGCTCATTGTAGACATGGAAGGGTTATCTTTAGAAGGCGCGATCCATCGCACGTTTGCACGGGCGCATCGGCGAGATGTTGTAGACAGTTTTCAGCAGAAGGTGGCAGCTGAAATTGTAACATCAGTACATGTCATCAATGTGCCTTGGACAATTGCCAATCTCTTCAGTTTGTGCAAAACCTTTCTGCCCGCCAAATTCTTGCAGAAGTTCAAGGTGTTGAGCGGGGACTCTCTCCAAGATGCATCCTTTGTGAAGCAGTGTGGAGGTGAAGAGCAGCTTTCGAGCCTCCTTTCATCTCGCAAAGGTTTGGTCTCTCACCACACGCATGACAGCCAGCAACTCTTCTTCTTGGATACTTGGCCCAATGAAGACGAATTGCATTCCATTGCAAATTTGCGGGGAAAATTTGCAGAGAATCTTGCAGAACGACAGAGGTCTGGTACTGACTGGCCTTGCTTCTTTAGTGATGTGGCGCTGGCAAGGGTGCTCCGAGGTAATGAAGGATATTTTTCAGAAGCAAGTAACTGGTTTCAAACTTTCCTGAGAAAGATGGAGAAGTACCACGTTGACGAGATTGTGCAAGCGATGAACTCCCAACTAGAAGCATCAAAACTTGAACGTGCTGCCCTCACCATGCTGCCACATGCAGATGAGGTTGGAAAATACTTCCGCTGCACACTCTCAGCACCGAAACTTACACCTTCTGGTGACGTGATTTGGTTCATTCCACTGGGTGACTTTGATCGAAAGTCTCTTGTGCAGAATGTGAGGTGGGAAGATTTTGTAGAATTTCTAAGAGCTCTTTGCGTTTTGAGAGCACTTGAAGCTCAAAGACTTAGTGAAGTCCAACATCGCATGGCTAAGTGCATCACCATCCTTGATCTACAGGGTAGTGGAATTGGTGCGACAGGGATCCCCAAAGTCGAAGAGTTTGACGAGCCGAATCAGAAGAACGTAAAGTTCATGCGAGAGATTCTGATTGATATTTTGGGGCCTATCTATGTCTTGAATGCCCCTTGGGTGGCAGTGAAGGCATTTAATTGGTTTAAGACACTTGTGCCTGCACGCTTTTCGCGAAAGCTTGTTCTTCTGGATGGCGACGGAGCCTCGGATCTGGACTTCGTGGAGCTGGTGGGAGAAGGCCAACTGAAGCACTTGCTGGCGACCCGGGTGGGTCTTCTTTGCGGAGAGGTTGATGGAGACTTGGGAGCCTGTACCATATCGGCGGGTGAGTCACTAAACAAGGTAAGAAACCTCAAGCAAGGTGAGACAATTTCTTGGTCTATCTCTGTTGAATCTGGGGATGCTGATTCATGGTTCGGAGTGTCTGACATTTTGTCAACTGCAAACATGATTTATGATGACCTAAACTCAGAGGGGAATCCTGGCAAAGAGCATGATTCTGCTCTTGAAGAGCTATGGGTTCTTGCATCTGATGGAGAAGTCACTCGAGAATACACAGCAGATCGCAACGGTGTCATTCGACTCTGCTGGAGCAACGAGCACAGCCGAATGCGTGCAAAGAACCTGCGGTTTCACATTGACGTGCGCAAGACAGGGTCGCTTTAAGCGAGTGGCAAAAGTATAGCGCTTCATTGCCAACCCACTCAATCTGAAGATTTCTCCCTGAGAACGCCTGAGCGAAGGGTTCTTCTTACAGTAAAACACAAGCAGGAGCGAACACACGAGCACTACATATCATCATCATCATCATCATCATCATCATCATCATCACGTCTGCACATCTTCACACCTGCACATATCCAGACATGCGCATCTTCACATCTGCATATCTCTCTCTTCTTCACATCTGCACATCTTCATATCATTTTTCCCCCTCTCTCTCTCATTCTTTGTCTTCTCCCTCTCCGTCTCTTTGCTTATCTTTGTCTCTTAGGCCTGGGGCAGTGCCGACGAGGCGCCACGAAATGCAACCCTTTCGCACGCAATGCGTATCAAATAATGTCCGCTGCAACCCTTTCGCATGCAATGCGTGTCAAGTGTCAAAACTGAGGGAATCTTGCCTGCGACTTCAATTTGTCCGCGGCATCCCTTTCGCACAAAATGTGTGTCAAGTGTCAAAAACTGAGGGAACATTGCGATTTCAATGGTTTCTGTGGCAGCCCTTTGGCACGAAATGCGTGTCAAGGGTCAAAAACTGAGGGAATCTTGCGATTTCAATTTGTCCGCGGCATCCCTTTTGCACAACATGTCTGTCAAGTGTCAAAAACTGAGGAAGTATTGCGATTTCAATGTTTCGGCGTCAACCCTTTGGCACGAAATGCGTGTCAAGTGTCAGCAACTGTAGGAATCTTGCGATTTCAATTTGTCCGCAGCAACCTGTCAAAAGCTGAGAGACTGTTGCGGTTTCAGTTGGTCGCAGTTCAAAGTGTGTAGCTGTCGTCGAAAACAAAAGCGGGGCTAAAGTGTGTAACTGTCATCGAAAACGAGGGTGGGTGGTGCTTCCCTTGGTGCAACTGTCGTCGAGAACGAGGGTTGCCAAAGTGTGTAAAAATAACTGTCGTTGAACACGAAGGTGGACATTGCCAAACTGTGTGCAAAACAGTTGTCATGTCAAAGTGTGTAAATGTCGTTGAAAGCGAAGGTGGACGTGTGTAATGTTGTCGAAAACGAAGGTGGTTGCTGCCAAATTGTGTGAAAGTTGTCTTAAGGTGGACGTTGCCAAAGTATGTATATAACTGTTGTCGAACATGAAGTTGTCAAAGTGTGTAACGGTCGTCGAAAACGAAGGTGGATGTGAACCCTGGATCCAGTTCATCAGGGAGCAGGTAGTTAGGAAAGTCATGTTGAGCGAGGTCTTGCCGCACCTCGACGAGACGGAAGTGGAGCTGATTTCGGAAGCAGAGCAGATAAGACTTATGAAACAGTATTTTTTGTCAAGGACAATGTCCACCTCCAAACCTTTGAGCCCACGGTGGAGCAAGTGTCAGGGTCGAATCGGGGCAAGCTCCGAACGCTGACTTTGTACTATTTTCGCGAAGCGCCTCAAATTCAGCGGACTTGTGCTCGCGAAGATCGGTGTGCTGTCGCAACAAGAGATAATCCGGTCCACGTATTAATAAACACGGCCCCCCCCCCCCGCCCCCTAATAAGAGAAACTCGGCCGCATTTTTTCCTAATAGGGGGTCCCTGAAATCGAGGGGGTTCAAAATAGGGTCACCTGGGAAGAGCTTCAAAACCAAAAAGTAACCCCAAAACATCTTTATTATATAAAATACTTTATTAAACTCGTATCAAAATTTCAAAAAACCTCCAGATCGAAGAGTCTTCCTTTTCCCCTACAAAAACTTTTATTAGAATACTGATCCACTAGACTGACAACCAAAGCTTTCGAAAGGTGATGTCGCTGTGCCATGCGGTTTTGCGCGACCTCGGTGGCAAGTGCGTTTGCGTGAGTCCGTGCCATCGGAGGAAGGAAAACCTGCTGGTGTAAACGCGGCGTGTCATGGTGGATACACAGGGCGGACAGATGTGGGCAGTTACGGTTGTTTTTGGAACCTAATAAAAGAAACTACCCCCAAAATCGACCATGTTGGCAGTTTAGTAGCAGTTTGAAAGGGCGGTATTTTAAAAGCAAATATACGACGAATTTAGGGTTTCGGACGTTGTGTTTTTTTATTGGGGAGTGTTTATTAATAGGTACTCGAGATTAGTAGTATGCAGACAAACAGGCATCATGGTCTGGCGGCAGTGTTTCGACCTATGGTCGGACTGTATGCCGAACAGCTCCACACACTACAGAGGATCCAAATCCAATATTTGTGCCCTTTGCTCTATCAATCAGAGAGTGAGCGCTGGAGCCCAACAAAGGTGAGGATGAACCGTGATGACTCACAGACTGCAGGCTAGTTGGGAGATGACAAAGACGTGTTGGGGGACGCGGGGAAGAGTGCATGGGCTCGACTTCGCGGATGGTAGATACCGCTGCAACCCCACGGCGTATCCACTATGCGTGGGACAATCCTGATTCCAATCTGGCGAGCGCGCCAAACGGCCTTGGTTACACGGTGCAAACGAAAGAGAACGAGAGAGAGAGAGATAGATAGATAGATAGATAGACGAGGTGTTTGGGAGCAGGTCACGGAGAGTAGCAATGCCATCACAAGGAGGCGCCGCGACTGACATGGTCGACTACCAAGAAAGGAGGCGGCGAACGCTGTAACCCTGAGCGGCCGGCGGAACCGCAAGACCGGGCTCTTTCACCCGATGAACTTTCCAACAAATTCTGACCAATTCCCGCCTACTTAAGTGGAAGGCCGATGGACGCAGGCGCCTTCCTCACCATCCACAACGGCCCTGGAGAAACTTCATCAAACAAAACCTGATAGGAGCTGGAAGAAGATGTTGGAAAGACGTCGAGAAAATTTCCGTGCGATCCCTCCATGCTCCTCGCAGAAAAACACAAGTCTTGCTGCCGGGACAGCTTCGCCTTGAACTCTTCGGTCGAGCAGAGGAGCAAACGGACAGACAAAAGTCCGCCGGTTGGCGCAATAGATACCATCAAACAAATGCCCATCGCGGGAACGTTCTGCTGGGGCGCACCATCACGCATACACACACACACACGCACTTATGATTATATTACGCGTACTGACTTGACAGCGGCGCCACACGCCGGCCTAAGAAACCAAATCCTGAAAAACCAGGTAAAGGGAGGGCTGCGCGCCTTTAGTTAAAGGCCACGAAACGACGAGCCGACGGGATGACGACGTTCCGTGCATGACTGCCAATGCATTAGCGCTTTACAAAAAGAAAAGGAGGAAAGGTGGCCACCAGCTGCGTCTTACAATGCGCCCAGGTGCACCAAGCAGGTACGTTTTCCTGATCATCCAGTGTGTGGAGCTGCGTTGGCTGAGGCCACAACTGGAGATCCCTTTGCCCCCTGCTGTCAACCGAAGTAAAAAGCAAGCAGTACATTTCAAAAGGAGCTCTGTGATTTCAAGGGTCACGCACACACAGACCCGAGGGGAGGCGAAAACTAAGGTTAAGACGTGTGTGCGCAGGTGCGCGCAACCAAGGACAAAAAGATGAAGACATGAAAAGAGGACAAGACAGGGCAAAAGTGTAAGTGGTTGCGATGAAGAGGGGACCAGATGCACACAAACAAACAGTGAGCCAAACCTCATTATCAGAACCTGGGCGGCCCTGAAACCTAAGTGTACCGTGGATGTGCGCGTGCAAACTAAGGCCCGGACCGTTGTGTGCGCGCAAGAGAAAGAGAGGAGTGAGGTGACAGGACATGAAGCAAGGGAAGACATGAAAAGAAAGAGGAAAAAGAAGTGTGTGAAGGGGGAAAGGATGAAAAAGAGGAACCAAATGAAGGGGACGGGAACCGATGAAACCAAACCTCATTAAATGTACGTGCTGTGTGTGCACCCGAGTTCACGACAGACTCCAACGAGTCTTGAACAAGCTTCGGCCGCTGCGGCCGCGTACGCCGAGCCAAAATGGCTGGCAGCTTTGACCGCTACGGTCACGCGCAGGCGTGAGCCAGCTTGGAGTTCAGAAAATCGACAAAATCTGAGTTCTCTCGGCCTAGGCCACCTTCGCCCGCTCTGGGCACGTACATCTGCGGGCAGGGGAGATAAAGACTAACGCCCGTTCCGGGGTCACCCTGGGCTCTCACTAGGAGAGAGACTCTTATGATTATGCGTACTGACTTGACAGCGGTGCCACACGCTGGCCTAAGTAACCAAATCCTGAAAAACCAGGTAAAGGGGGGCCTGCGCGCCTTCAGTGAACGGCCACGAAACGACAAGCCGACGGGATGACGACGTTCCGTGCATGGCGGCCAACGCGTTAGCGCTTTACAAAAAAAGAATAGGAGTAAAGGTGGCCACCTCCGTCTTACAATGCGCCCAGGTGCACCAAGCAGGTACGTTTTCCTGATCATCCAGTGTGTGGAGCTGCGTTGGCAGAGGCCACAACTGGAGATCCCTCTGCCCCCTGCTGTCAACCGAAGTAAAAAGCAAGCAGTACATTCCAAAGGAGGCCTGTGATTTCAAGGGTCACACACACACACCCGGCTTCAGAGCACAAGAGCGCGACGTTGTCGGCAGTGATCCACTCTGATGACTACGCAGGCGTGGAGGGTCAGAACTCGAGCCAATCGGGCTCCGAAGGTCATTGGAATCATATGAGGGGTGATCATGATGTTCATTGACACCGAATTCGTGGCGTCGGCCAAGCCGGGGCTGCAAGCGGCTCCTTTCTCAGACCCAGGATTGAAATCATTTGTCTGAGGGACATGACGCCACAAAGTTGGCAGGAAAGCTACAATTCATCGCTGAAGCGCTAAGGGCTCAAGCCGTGAGATGCTGCGTGCAGCCGCCCTATGGACACATCTCACCACATGGTCGGCAGGCGCCGCAACATGAAGAACGCATGGGGATTTGTCGTCCGCAAGCCTAGCAAAGCTCTCCTATGGGTATGCGCGCTCTCTTGATCTACGCGATTGGACACCTGCTGAGGCTGCTTCATCGACCGGTTTCTAGATTTGACGTTACCAATGTGAACAGAGCAGCTCATATTCCTGTGGACCTTTCTTGAGCGCCATCCAGAGTTGTTCCGAGTGAGCTAGGGTCGCT